AGGTTTTAACACTCTTCGAGTGAGTGTCCACTCCTCAGAAAATTAAGGGAAAGAGAATAATAGAATTTGGGGAAAAAGGATCTTGAAAACTTTTATTCTGTTCTGTTTTGATTACATCATAGATATTAAAAGGAATTGGGTGCTAACAATCAAGCAAAAATTAGGGAAATAAAACAGGAATTAAACTAATAATTTGCAGCAGAAATTTCAGGAATTAATTTGAGCATATCAGGATTTTCTAATTTTGTCCGCAGACATAATCAGTCATCCACGCTGGCTTCTTTCTTGCTCGTTTCCTTACTATTGGTTCATCCTTCCTTATTGGGTCTGGGTCCACTGGTTGGTTTGTATCATTTTCCCCTTCTGCAGAACTCACCTTGTCCTCAAGGTGAAAATCAGGATAACAAGTGCGGAAATTGTCCAAGTCTTCCCAAGAAGCTTCATCAACTGGACAACCCTCCCAATGCACCAAGAGTTGTTCCTGTGGTTGCCCGTGAACTAACTGAGTTCGCCAATCTAAAATTGCCCTTGGTTGATCAATAGGTTGGTTATCAAAGCTTTCCAAGGGTAAGTCACATGCAGACATCTTATCAGTACCACGAAAAGGTTTAAGAGCCGACACATGAAAAACCAGGTGAATGCGACTACCAGGAGGAAGTTGGAGTTTGTATGCCACTGTCCCAATGCGCTCGATGATGCTATAAGGACCATAGAACCTCTTCGAGAGCTTGTGGTGTTTCAATTGACGGACTGATGTTTGGCGATACGGTCTGAGGCGTACGAGAACCAAATCACCAACAGCGAGAGTAATGTCTCGACAATGTGCATTGGCCTTCTGACGCATTCTATTTTGAGCAGCAGTTAAATTTGTCTTCAAAGTGCGGAGTAATTCGTCACGAGAAGTTAGGGCCTCATCCAATACTTGTATAGAAGTGGATCCCCTAGTATATGCCAGAATGGTGGGTGGTCTTCGACCATAAAGAGCCTCGAAAGGGGACATTTGCAAGGCACTATGGTAGCTGGTGTTATAATGAAATTCGGCCCACGGGAGGAATGCAACCCATGAAGACGGTTTATGTTGAGTGAAGGCACGAAGATATTGTTCCAACCCACGATTAACTACCTCGGTTTGACCGTCAGTTTGAGGGTGATAGGCACTGCTCATAACAAGCTTGGTGCCACTAAGTTCAAACAGCTTGCGCCAAAAAACGCTAATGAAGACCGGATCACGATCAGACACAATGGAACGAGGGTACCCATGGTGACGCACAACCAAAGACACAAACAACTCTGCTACTTTGGAAGCGGTAAATGACGTGAGAAGAGCACCAAAGTGAGCTGTTTTCGATAATTGATCCACAACAACAAGGATAACCGTGGATCCTTGAGAGGGAGGGAGACCCGTAATAAAATCCATTGTCACATCTTCCCAAACCGTCTCTAGAATCGGGAGAGGTTGAAGGAGTCTCGCTGGAACCTGCGTTGAGTATTTAATTTGTTGGCAAGTAAGACATGAGCCGACATACTCTTCCACTGCTTTACGCATACCGAACCAATAAAAATTGGCAGCAACACGAACTAGGGTACGTTTCACACCAGCATGGCCACCACTTGGTGTATCGTGAAATTCGCTAATGATTGTATGACATAGAGGAGATGTTGGGTTGATCACATAACGACCGGTATGGAAAAGGACCCCATTCACGATAGTATAAGGGTACCGGAGCAATCCCTGCATGTGTTGTTCACGAAAAGTCTGATAGAGAAAATCTGAAGCATTATCTTTTTGGAGCTGAGTAATAATACCATATGTAGGTGATGACACTAATGCTCTGAGTGCGGGTGTGTGGTCACTGTCTGGCCAGTCAGCCGGCACACGTGAAAGTGCGTCAGCCACTTTATTGGAAGCCCCAGGTTTGTACTCGATGCGAAATTGAAACCCCAAGAGTTTGTGCACATACGACTGCTATTCTAGAGTTTGTATTACTTGCTGAAGTAATTCCTTGATGCTCTTATGATCAGTTCGGATGACAAAAAAATGACCTAACAAGTATTGTCTCCATTTCTCATCACATTTAAAACAGAGACCTTTTGAACGGTGGTCTCGGAGTTCGGCAGAGGACATGTTCCGCACGGCAGGGTTTGAGTGTGGTGTGGGTAAGAGTGGTGGTAACGATGTTGCAGTATTGTTTGATGGGTTATTTGGATTTGAATTGGATCGGTTTGTTTGATTGTGGTTAGGTTGGATAAGTGAGCCTGTGGAGTGTTGTGGGTCGCGAGACCACAATTTGCCTATGGTTGGTGTGTCATCAAAACGGGCCTCATATGCTCTAGCCATGGCGAAAGTTTCCATTAACGTAGCAGGTCGGTGAAATTGCAATTCCCGTCTCAAATGCTTTTTCAGTCCCGTAATGAAAAAACTTATCAGTAGTGATTCAGAGATACCGTTGACCTTGTTCATCAATTCTTCAAACTGGGCTTGAAAATCAGCTACAGAGCCGGTTTGAGTTAATTTGGAGAGTTCACCTTCAATGTCTTCGTACTGAGTTGGACCGAAGCGGTGGCGAACAGCGGTGAGAAAAATTGGCCACAATGGTAACAAATTGTTACGTGTTGCCCATTGGAACCAGCCAGCAGCGCGTCCGTCAAGATGAAAGGCTACGATCTGAAGTCGGGACTCTTCCGGAGTTTCGTGGAAGTTGAAGAAAGCTTCAATCTGAAAAATTCAATCCAAGAGATTGGAACCATCAAAACGTGGTACGTTTAATTTCAGCGCACGTGACGTCTGCCCGGCAAATGCATTATGTGGTTGTTTTTTGCCTTCGACGTGTAAGTTTGCGACCTTCGAATCAACTTCTACCAGGTGTTGGTGGAGTGTGGAATGAATTGACTCGGTATGGAACTCGAGTAATTCGCGAAACTTTACCATCTGTGCATCGATATTGGATTGAAGGGCGCTCATAAGCTCAGTTGTGTCCATGATGAAAGAACCAATGATACACTCTGCTGCAGAATGCTCAAAGGTTTTAACATTCTTCGAGTGAGTGTTCACTTCTCAGAAAATTAAGGGAAAGAGAATAATAGAATTTGGGGAAAAAGGATCTTGAAAACTTTTATTCTGTTCTGTTTTGATTACATCATAGCTATTAAAAGGAATTGGGTGTTAACAATCAAGCAAAAATTAGGGAAATAAAACAGGAATTAAACAAATAATTTGCAGCAGAAATTTTAGGAATTAATTTGAGCATATCAGGATTTTCTAAGTTTGTCCGCAGACATAATCAGTCATCCACGCTGGCTTCTTTCTTGCTTGTTTCCGTACTATTGGGTCATCCTTCCTTATTGGGTCTGGGTCCACTGGTTGGTTTGTATCATAACCCACCTATTGATCAACCAAGGACAATTTTAGATCGGCGTAATCAGTTAGTTCACGGACAACCACATGAACAACTCTTGGTGCATTGGGAGGGTTGTCCAATTGATGAAGCTTCATGGGAAGACTTGGAGAATTTGTGTACTTGTCATTCTGATTTTCACCTTGAGGACAAGGTGAGTTCTGTAGGAGGGGAAAATGATACAAACCAACTAGTTGATCGAGACCCAATAAGGAATGATGACCCAATATTAGGGAAACGAGTAATAAAGAAGCCAGGTGTGGATGAGTGATTATGTCTATGGAAGAAAAAATTAAAAGATATTGATATGCTCAAATTAATTCCTGAAATTTCTGCTGCAAATTATTAGAGAAATGAGAATAAAGAAACAAGGGTGTATGGGAAAAATAAATACTGATGAGACATAAAAATATTATTTTATTAAATTATTAATAAAATATTTAAAAACTAAATGATTACATATGTGCACTTAAAAAAATAATCTATATTATAATAGATTAAAATAAAGATATATATATATATATATATATATATATATATATATTTATATAAATTATTAAACTACAAATAATATAAAATGGAAAATCAATAAAATATTTGAACATTATTTGAATACAATTAAGTAACAAGACTTCAAAAATTAAATGTTACAAAAATTATTCAAAAATAATTTAAAGTTTCTAAAGAAACATTGTATACATAATAAAGGCATAAAAACAAGTATAAAACTTGAATTTAAATATTACTAGGATAAATAAGATTAAAAATAAGTAACTCTTCAACCTCACCCAACCAAAGTTATAGTTTTTTTTATCATGGTGTTGTTTGGGTTGAATCTAAAATAATTCGTTCAAATCTTTTTTATTGAAGCAATAAATATTTTATCTTTTTATCTCACGAAATTGATGATCATTGTTACACTTTCTATTTTAATTATTGCTCATAAGTTTGATTAATTTATTCTTATTTACAGCTTAAAAAAATTAAAAATATATATTTAAGATAGAAACTCAATAAACAACTCATAGTTAATTAGATTATGTTAGTTTAAGGGAAAAAAAAACACAAATTATCCTGTGCACAGCTGAATATTGACATATATTATTCACTTTAACGAGTGAATATGTTAACTTTTTCCTTTAACCATATTCACAGTTTTCAATTCGTGGTTGATATAGTAATTTTAAATTGTACATGACTTCAAATCTTCCTAAAAGCCCATTTGTTTGAGGAAAGACAGGATAGATAGGTAGTCACTGACAAACATCCGTTAACGTGGCAAAAAAAATCAAAATATTGTAAAAACAATGATAAAGACATTCTGTTTGTCTAGAGAAAGTCCTGATGATGAACTCCACTAAAAAAAAATGTCTTACAACATGATGACGGGTAAAACTTGAAATTGATGGTGATGAAATTATGCTTGACATCATTAATTTGTTCAAACTGGATCTCAAATACCATTCTGGACTATTGGCCATATATAATTACATTTGAGCTTCTTAATGTGGTGGCTTTTTCTCAACACAACGATAAGAAATCACACTTCTAAATTTCCTTTCCATTGCAATTAGGTGGTAGTAGCAATTTGATTCTACTAGCCCCTTAAAAGTTAATCTCCCTTCTTTCAGCAAAGAATTTCCCAGTAATTGCTTGATCAGGAAAAAGAGCAATCCAAACTGCAGTATCAGCTCCTTGCTCAACTGAAACACTTCCTGCATATCCTGTTAGAGCAGTTTTCACCCAACCAGGGCAATAACAGTTGACGTAAATCTTTTCACCCTCTGGCCTTTCAGAAAACTTCCTGGCCAAAAACCTTGTATAAGCATTAACTGCAAGTTTTGACACTGAGTAGTCAGTGTACTTCTGAGGCCACCCTTCTGATCTCCAATTGTTATCCTCTATTTGTTGTAGAAAAGTAGATACCATTCCATCAATTAGTTCCTCTGTGAGGGATTCCTCATCACTTAGTTGCTCCCTCAATGCATCATTTTCTAATCTCTGTTACTCCACAAGTTATAATCAGCTTTACATCAACCACAAGTTATGTACATGGGGATTCATTGTAATCTAAAAGCAACTGTTCAGATATTTTAGCATTAAGAATAAAAACAAAAATTCTACTTAACCATTTAATTTATGCTCTAACTTTTTCAATTTGTCCTTAAACTTCTACATTTAATTCTTATATGAACTATATTTTTATAGTTTAGTCCTTGCGCCTATATTTTAACAGTTAAATTCAGAGTTAATACGAATACAATAATAAAATAATTAAGGTTATACTACAATTTTAATTATGTTTTAATTCTTGATTTGTGGTCATGGTATCTTTTGTTGTTACTTTTTAATCTTAGTCTTTAGATATTATAAATTCGAAATTTTGATAAAATAATTAATTTAGATATGTTTACTTCTTTCACTTTTATATTTTAATTAATTAAATTAATCTTGTTATAGTAACTTAAATGAACATGTTAGGCTTAAAATTCAATTAGACCAAAACAACATAAGCTTAATAATATCTGACAAAACAAAAATTACAAATTTTAAACATTTAGAAACTAGAAAAAATAAAAAATAAAAACCATATATATCATAAATTAATAAATTATTAAATTTGTAATTTAACCTGCACTTAATAAAAGGAAAACATTCCAAGGATGCTTATCTTTTCTTCAATAACAGCGAAGTAAGTTGAATTTTACCTCTGAAGAAGGTAACATCAAAGATAAAACTCATTCTTTTAAACACTGTTTAGTTTATATAAGAAATCAAAGAGTGTTAGCATGTGTATATATATGTAGTGTATTTTACTTACATTTCGTTTACCATTTAAACGACCTAAGCGAGAGGTGACATTTACAATACGGGCACCTGCAGCAGATGGTTTCATCAATGGAATCATAGCTTCAATCATTCTCTTAGTGCCATAATAATTTGTTTCAATAACTTTCCGAGCATTTTCATATTGATAATTGTTATCTTGATTGAGACTAACACCAGCATTATTTACCTGCATATAATCATACTATTGCTTAGAAGCATGTGCTAAAAATCTTTTGAATATTTACAATTTACTTTGATCTTGATTAAAGTGGAGAAAGAATGTAAGGAAGAAATTACGTTTTAGAAACTGACCAGAATGTCTAAACCACCATAATTTTCCTTCAACCACTCAGCAAATTGGTTGATGGATGAGGGATCCAATATATCAAGTTGATGACAAGCCACCTCAGTGAGACCACCTTCTTGCAAGACCTTAGCTGATTCAACACCTACACCTGTGTCTCTTGATGTCAGTACAACAGTAACTCCATGATCAGCAAGTTGTCTACAAATGTCAAACCCTATTCCTCTGTTTCCACCGGTAACCACAGCAACAGTTTCTTTAGACCACCACCTACCAATACACAATTACACACTGTTGAAATATCAATTTACATAATTGTATGTTAATGTTCATATATGTAGTCTTAGTTAAAGAACTGACGTTAACTTCGAAATTAATTTTGAGTTAAAACAAGTTCAAGTCATTTCTATGTTAGATTAAAAATTTAGACTTGTCTTACTAATCACTTATTTTTAGAATTAAAAAATTTGAACATTAGTCTTTCCATTTTATAATTTATTTACAAATACTCACCTATCCTGTATAAATCTATTAGAATTGGTCTAATGATGAAGATTATCTAATTTTGTTTTCTTTCTTGGGAGATAAAGAAAAAAAGAAATGATATGTATAAATGTACGGAAAAGTTGGATTAAATAGTTTTTTTTTTACTATTATTTTTTTCCGATTTTGTCCCAATTATTTTAAAGTGAATCAATGTAATCCATGTCAACATTATCAAGTTATTTAATGATGCTGGAGAGGATTGACATTAGTATGTTTGTTGATATGGTGATGAGGTGATGACACAATTATATTAATATAAGATATTATTAATGATGTGTTTAATACGATATTAATATCAGCAACACATTAGCATTAGATAAAGAATCATGATTACATCAATATCATATTATATTTTTCTTAGATAATGTCATGATCATGTTAATATTGTGTTACATTTTTGTTAGATAATTTAATGAGGTAGGTAACTCATTTAAAAAAAAATAGATAAAATTTAAACTCAAAAAATAATAGAAAAAATAAGAAAAAAATTATTAAATCAGAAAGTTATTTAACCCAGGAAGTTAGGTCAAGAAGTTAAACAATCATAATATGACAAGAAAGAAAAGTTAGATTGAAGTGTAATTGCAGAATGAAACAATTAATATAAACATAGTACTATGAAACATGGTAGATAGGTAGCCAGGACATCAAACCTCTGGTGATCAGAATAAGGAATGGTTCTCATAAGAGATATCTGTTGCAATCTCTTATCTCTTCGGTCTTTTGATTTTTCTCTGTGCGTGTGCCCCATCTTCTCTATCTCTTTGTGGATTTTGGCACCAATGAAGCTAAATTGAATGTTTGATGTTGTTGTTGTAGTTGCAGTTGTAATTGGTGGGACATTGGGTCTCAGAGAGATGCAGTTGCATCATACGATCTCCGCAACCGAAGGAGTAAATTGGTGCCCTTGCATGCCACGTTGTTGGTCCAAGCACCTATGTTGGCTTGTGGTCAATACACAAAGCTAGACTTTAGGTAGACAATGTTATCAACCCTGCTGCCCCCACATTCTTAGTGCCATTTCCTTTCCAATTTTCAACCCAACGGGAATTTTAACAGTAATTTTGTTTTCTCTAATGATTCGCTTTAAAAACAGTATTAACTAGTGGAGGCTATGTATTTTCATGTTTTCTAAGATCAGTCCTTCGCCCTTGGCTTTTCAACCATAACAGAAAAATAAAAAATGTAGTTGAATGTCTCGGCAAAGTGAAAATAGTTACACTTAGAAGGACAGAATATGTTATATGCCTATGAACTAAATTAAAAAGTTAAAGTCATATTATTTTTTTATTTTTTTAATATAATCTTTAAAGAGTAACTAATGATTTATACTATAAATACTATTATATCAAAATAAATTTAATTTGATGAACGAATACGAAAGATTTGAGAAATAGATAAGACTAATTCAAAATATTCATAACTTAAATTAGATTTATTTTGATTTGGTTTAATTTATTTAGGTTACAATTTATATAAATATAGGATATAATCAGTCCATTTTATAAAATAATAATTATTTTTATATATTTATAAAATTAATTTATTTTAATATCTTCTAATTAAAATTAATTATTATTTTAAATTAATAAAATACTAAAACATAAATGATAATAATAAATATTAAGTTTTTAATTTTATTTTCATATTGAATGAATACGATATCTTATATTTTATATATTAAATCATTTTATCCTAAAAAAATTAACTTCATTAATATAATTTTAATTTTAATTTTAATTTTTTTAATTTAAATGTTTTTTAATTAATTATTTTTTTATAAATATATTAATATTATTTTAATTTTAATCAAGTTAAAATTGATTTATTAGTTTAATATAAAATCAAATTAAACTAAAAATTATAATTTATTTTAAAATATAGCTCACAGTCCATTTGATAGTTATATATTATTTATATTTGTTTTTACTCCTTGATGTAGTTAAATTTACTAATTAATCTATTTATATTTTTTTTCTAAAACAAATATTCAAATATTTTTAACCGTAAGAATTAGACTTACAAATATATATTATAAATAAATATTTATACTTTTACATGCATTTATCATCTTAATAAATTTGTATACATAAAGATTATTTTTATAATTTATTTAATACTAAAAAAAAAGTAAGGAGAGGCAAAGAGACTATACACAAAATCAAACATTGAAATCAAGATATTACTATAAAACTGATCTAGAAATTATTCTAACACAAAGTGTTTTTCTTGGGGAAATATGAACTTGAGTGAGTTTTTAAGCCATGATAGCATCATAGTGCCCCAAGAAGTTCATATCGTCTTCATAAGAAAGGGTCTATGTCCGAAATGGTATTAGAGTCTTACCATTTTTCAGAAGGGGATATGATATATAGTAAAAATTATATACGGAGGGCGAGTAAGAGAACCTATTAGAAATGGATAATCAAATACTAACAGAGTCCGGTCCCGTTTTGTTAAATTCTATTTTTTCTCTTCTAAAAAATATCTCTAAAACTCTTTCATCAAAAATAGAAAATCTCGTCGAATATTCCTATGTCCCTAAAGATGCTCAAATCTCTGAAACATATAGTGTGCTCTTAAGTCCTTATAATATGCTAAAATCTCTAAAATATATAGTCCGCTCTTAAGTCCTTATAATATCTTAAAAAGACAAATATCTATCCTTAGGTCTATTTGTACCCATCTTCACCAAAAGACCTCAGGTCAAAAAATACGTCCAATCTTCTAAGATGGATTAGTGTGTCTTAGCCTCCACCACGGAAGAACAATTAATATGTCAATATTAAGATTCTGAAAGATCTCATTAGATATTGACAGAATGAAGGATACACTCATCTCCACTACATGACTATAAGATTAGTCCTCTCTCTCCATGGAAGACATGAATTACTTGTCTCAATTAGAGTCTCTCTTCCAGACTCTAGCTATCTACACTATGAACATGTTGTAATTGGTATTGTGTTAACTACTTTCCATGCCGAAAGTGTAGTCCTGACCATCTTCTTTCCTAACTTTAATGTTAGTTTGAAAGATTCCACCATCTCTCAACGATTGAAGGTTCAAATTCAAATCATAGGAGCTGAACAAGTAGTTGATGCTCTGTCAGCCACCCTTCATCACTAAATAATCTACAGACTGCAAGATCATGCTATAAATCTTACACTACCCTCATACAAAGATGGAGCATTATTTATCTTGGTCAATAACCAAGATGAAACATCTTCCATAGTTCAAATTCCCAGAAATATTTCACAACAAGAACTGCAAAAGCTTATCCCTATACGCAGTGACGGATCTTCTTGGGAGCTGAGGGGGGCCATGACCCTCCTAAAGTTTTGTAACACTATAAGAAAATCGCGTATTACCGACGGATATTTACCGACGGATTTCTAACTGTCGGAAAATAATTATTACTGATGGAATTTACCGACGAATATAAAATATTTGTGGAATTTGATCTTACTGACGGATATATCCGTCGGTAAAATAATAATTAGTTACCGACGGATATATCCGTCGATAAATTAACAATTAATTACCGACGGATATTTCCGTAGGTAAATTAACAATTAGTAAATATTCACCTAATTAAAAAATTAAATATTTTTTATTTAATAATTTAATTTAATCATAATTAGATTAATTTATAATAATTTCTTAAATTAAATAATTTTAAAAAATAAATATTTAATTATATATAAATATATAAAAATATATAAAAATATTTAATTATATATAAATATATAAATATATAAAATATAAATATATAAAATATAAATATATCAATATATCAATATATAAAAATATAAAAATATAAAAATATAAAAATATAAATATCTAAATTTCTAAATATATAAATATGTAAATATATAAATATATAAATATGTAAATATATAAAAATATAAAAATATAAATATGTAAATATATAAATATGTAAATATATAAATATGTAAATATATAAATATGTAAATATATAAATATGTAAATATATAAATATGTAAATATATAAATATGTAAATATATAAATATATAAATATATAAATATATAAATATATAAATATATAAGTATAATTTATTTGTAAATTATTATCAAAAAATTACTGGTAGCTTAGTGGTTAGAGTATCATCCTTTAACTCTAAGATACTTGGGTTCAAATCCTACCAATTACAATTCTCTTAATTCAATAATAATTGAAGCCTACAAAAATGTAATAGGGGAAAATAATTAATAATAAATAATAAAAATATAAAGGGTTATATAAGTAAAATATTTAATAAATAATAAAAATATTACCAGACGGACTATTAAATCTGTTGGTACTATTTACCGAACAACCAAAATTCGACGGATTTTTGACCGACGCTTGTAGTGTAACTCCCATGTAATTTATAATTTTGGCTCCCCCAAACTTAATAAATATTTAATATATTTACTTGTATATTTACAATTCTATCCTCTCGGCTCCTCCTCATTTTTGTAACTCTAATATAATTTATGATTTTGTCCCCCTCAAATTTAATGATCATTTAATATATTTAAGTATATATCTACAATTTTATCATTTCACCCTTTCATCTTCTTTCTTCCTTTTATATTTATTTATTATTTATTAATAATATATTATTTGGCCCCCCAAGATTAATGTTCAAGATCCGCCACTACCTATACGGTGGGTTATCAACTATGAGAAGCTCCATACCAATCAGAAACCAATCCAGTTTACTGAAGCCACTCTCAAAAAATCTGTAGATGGTACTGTCAAAACCATCTTCAAGAACCTTGAAGATGATCCCACTTCAAGCACCTTCATATTCCAATCCATGATGATAACACTTGTTACAAAAGAGGGCAAGATCCCTATTTCTAGCGTATATCCTGACGGGAAGCTTATCTTTACATATAAGATAGGGTGACACTTCATATGGGATACAGACCCAGAGATGTGTGATTCCGACTGTGACTGTTGTGATCAAATTGGAGATACCAGTGATGAACATGATAATGATTCAGACAAGGATGATGACTTTGAAGGAAGATCTTGCAAACCTGCATTCTCTCCCAACAAAAGGTATGAACCTGGAAGAGGTCCTTGGATTGGACTTCATCAATAAGAGAAACCAGACCCTTTGTGGAAATACAAAAGATATGCAAAGATCCTTGAAGAAGAAGGTCTCCTTTTTTATAAACAAGAAAAGTGCAGAACCTTTGTCATGTCACCTCCTATTACTTCTTCTATTTCATGCATGATGATCAATCTAACATCCTATAGGGAAGAATTTCCTCCTCTGGAGAGAAATATTGATCATGTGTCCAAGACAACAACCAAACCATATGTTGTGTGTCAAGAAGTCAGACCAGATAGAAAAGCTAAACCACTAAGCCAAGTTGAGGAAGTATTAAACTGACAAACAAAAAATGTCAGAGCTCAAAACTCCATCTTGCAGATAATTGATCAGAAAATGGATAAACTCTTAACACATCTTGAGGAAACTGATGAAAAGCTCCAGCATCTTAACTCAACCTTAAGAAAGTATTATAAACAACTTTCCTCAAAACTTTTAAGGTTAGAAGAAGACTGGAAGAAAATTATCTTTGGAGAACTATCTCATGCGAAAGAAAAGGATATTAGACAACTTAAGGCTCAAATCCAGGAAATGGGTAATTACATTGAAGCCAAAGTTAAACAACAAAGGACAGAGAAGCATCCTTATCCATCTATGTTTACTTCAACTCCAACCTACTCCTCT